GTAGATATAATTATCTTTCATAGCATTTAATTGAAGAGAGAACAATATCATTACTTTAATAAAAAGAAGCATAAGGCTCACCTGGATTCTAGGTATTGTGTCACTTTACTTTTGCTCATTATTCCAACATTGGTAGGTTCAATGCTTATAAAACGACCATGTCATTAAAATTTAATTAATAATTTGATCTCAATTTTCCTAATTATTATTTTAAATTTCAAATTAAAATCTTAAAATATTGATTAAAATTTATCTCACTTCCTATGATTAACTATTAATTAATTAATTAAAATTGAATTTTTAAAATTATTTGTTCTCTCTCTCTCTCTCTCATTACACAAACAGTATTTTCTTTATCATCATATTTAAAATTTCCTTTTACTTTAAAATAAATTATCAATTTTTTTTACATAATTAATTTTCTTATTTAGCATTTTCAACTAAAATCTATATCTTATTTAATTCTCATAATCTCTCATTTTAAATATCACTTTATCTTATTTTATTATTAATTTCTAATTTAAAATTTTCTTTCCTTAATTTCTCGTTTATAGAAACAATGAACCCCATTTAGCTTCCCATCTCCAATCGATCGAAATGACCTTATGTCATTCCTTTATTCAGCTTCTAAGTGACACAAATGATGTCAATTGAGCTTCATTTGGCTTCTGCGACACCAGACAACATCTCCTTCAACCTCCCCTTCATCTTTCGTCTTGGTTGGGATATTACAGTATGCATCTTTTAGAAATATCTTCATCATCTTTTCTTAGCGTTAGCTAAAAGTACCCTTGCCTAAGGATCCTATGGGTGAGCGTGCATCAACTAGAGTAGCTTTCGCATTCGCTCGAGTGGATTTCAGTTAGTACAACTTCCTTTTGATCTTCACATACTTATTTGAGGTTACATAAAGATGTTGATCTTTTGAATAGGTGGTCATCAAATAGTAGATAGTTTGATGCTTGGATCCTGAATCATTTGAGGGTGCTAACCTCATCGTCGATTGACCCATTTTTTAGATACTTGATGTAAGGGTCCATCCAACTTATAGAACAATACCTGGAGGTTTTATTTCTTCTTATATCACCTCCTCTTTATATGATAGTGAGATTTAAAAATTTGTATTATTGATTGGTCGTCAATGCTTCGATCATCGCCCATAATGGAGGGTACTACTATAGTGCTGTGAATTGCTTGAGCTAGCCTAAGCTCGTTGGCACTTTCTTCTTCTAGGGCATTCCCTTATCTTCAGTCCATATTGGCTAGGATTAATTCTTTAAGTTTTCTTATTTTGATGAGTTCTTCAACAAAATTAATGCAGATGATTACACTCTTTAGTGTCATGCCCATGATTTTTATGGAAGGTGTCGTACCTTAATGTATCACAGGCACTACCAATCTTCATAGGCAACAAGCATCTAAAGAATTCTTTATTATGAATAGCATTTATGAGTTCGGCCATGGATATCCTCAATGTATAAGTTGGGCATGCTTGGGATAGGTGAGCGACCTCTCTATGTGCTTCCCTAACCCTTGGTGCTGGCAATGCCTCTATCCTGAGAGATTTTGGCTGAGTAGGTACCTCATATGGATTGGAGTGTCATTAGATGAATTGAAAGTTTGTCCCATAGTTCCTTCTTTCTTGAGACCATGCTCTCTCTCTCTCTCTCTCTCTCTCTCTCTCTCTCTCTCTCTCTCTCTCTCTGCCTCCATAGTTGGAGGTTTCCCCTCATCGTAGTCCTATAGTGTAAAGTGATCATGCAGGATTCAATCACTTGATTATATTTTTCAATATTGATGTGACTAGTTGTAAGTTCTAATAGTTCTGCCAACATCTTTGACTATTACAACCCAAGCGCATACCAGAAAGGACCTTACATTAGCCTTTAGGTAAGAGCCTCTTGGGAGACTATCGGTTCTAGGTCTTTTATGTCAAGCATCTCTTTCTGAAACCTTAGTATGAAGCTTCATAGTGGCTCTCCTAATTCATGTCTCATCTTTAGTAGAGCTTATGAACTCTTCGAGCACTAGCAAATTGTAAAATAAACATTCGCTTGAACACAAACAAAGAGGTGATCACCCTATCTCATAATCAATAGAACTTGATCTTTCAAAATTATCAAATATGTCATACACATCATAACTATATGATTTTCCCTATATCAAGTTATCCTAATTAATAAATTTTAAGCATTTTTCAAAGCATTCTTTGTCTTAATTTGCTCTCTTATATGAGTGCTTGGTTATTTAACATAAATCATACGCCTAGCTTATACAAGAAGACTGACTCAATAAATATAAACGTACAACGTGTTGATTCTTCAATGATTTTTTTTCCTTGATTTCTTCAGATTCTTCATAAATGTCTCGTACTTGAACTCAGGTTAAGTGCACCTTGTTTAGCTTATGATTTTTATCAAACCTATATGTCAAATCTCATATCAACCTTCATCTATGGTATATCTGAAATGTTAGTATAAATAAAAAAATATGCACACACCAACTCACTAGCCAAAAATCAATACAACCAATAATATTTATAATCATTAAAACCTCAATAAACTTACAAGCTCATGAGGTTTAATAATAGTCTTGAGCAATGAAGCCAAAAACTTATTACGACTTAGTTGTGCACACACAAATATGCGATCACACAAGTAATAAAGTGATTAACTAAAAAATTATTATCCCATACACTTTGAAAGAAACCACTAAAATTAGGTTAATTTTGACTATCATGAATAATCAAAATAGGTATATAATTTACATGAAATAGAAGAATATGGAGTCATGAATGATTACATGAATCTCTTTAGGCTATTTGTCAAATTATCAAAAACTAAGAATTATTTTTTACTAGGAATAATTATATTTTTTTAGTTGTAGTGCACTAAAAAAATATAAATAAGTTTGTCAACACATCCTAACATTCTCTCAAAAACTTAGGATCCCTAATATTTACACACAACCTATCTATCTCTCAATGATAGATACAATGCAAATAGATTTCATTAATCAGACAGTGATCAAATTGATTACATTAGTCTAATATAGATGTATGTATCCTATGATCCATCACCATATTTTAATCATGACGAGTCTATTCTCCACCTCATAAATAGAATATACCTTCTGAACTTCTAATTGGAGTCCAAATAATTACGTGTAATAAAAGCATGATGAAATGCACATTAATAAATAAATAAAAAAGGTTTATTAATTACATTAAATGGAAATCAATAAAACTACAATTGATTACTTCTAATCCCTAATTTAGGGCTAACTTGAAAGAAAAATAGAGGGTACATGATTCTAAACAAAGACATGAAAAATGGAGAAGAAGAAAATACTCAATTTCATAACCTCTCACTACGTGTTACAAAAACATTCCCTCGAGTTCCTTTCCCTAACCGCTATAAAAAACTCTAGAGAGGGTTGGGGCTGAAAAATCTTCCTCCCCAAAAGTTGGCAGAAAACTTCGTTTATTTAATCTTGAAATTCCTTCCCAAATTTAACTAGTGTTTGACTCTTAAAAGGTTACATGAGGTTGGTACCCAGTTGGGCGCCTAGACTCCTACATAGTTCCTCCATTGTGGGACGAAAAATCTTTCAAAAGTCATGCCATGTGCCTACGTGTTAGGGTCTCAATAAATTTCCTGATATTAATAAAAAATAAATGTGAATAACAAATATTTAAATCCAAAAATATTATTTAAAAATATCATCTATTTAGTGTTAATCATCAATATTTGGCTATCCTCAAATGGTGATGGAGGGCCTTAATGTTGGTCTATGTTGGGCTCTGGTGTTTGTCAATGGTGGGCATCGAAATTGATGAACGGCTAATGCCAAGTAGTGATGAAGGCATGCATCACCATTAGTTCATAGTTGACATTCGAAGGCTTGAAGCTATGATAAAACTATAAATTTCTCTCCTTTAAAACCCTCTTTAAGAATTGTCTCGAATACGTAGAAGTTGTCCTACATATAATCTTTTGAAGGGGGCATATTGCTTATTTATACCATGAATAAGGATGCTCTTCCAAATGATCTAAAATAATTTCATTAATTATTTGATATTTATTTAAAAAATTTAACATTTTAAAGATATCATAATTGAGCGACTTTGACTTATTAGATTTTCTTATCGAGATGCTCCTTTCAATGATAAATACATAAAATTCAAATATTGATTGATCGTTTAAAATATCTAATGAAGCTTACCACTATAATTCAAAGCGCTTGATTTATGTCCATTTGAAATCACATCAAGACGTTCTTGATATCATTGAGGGCATGTTTGTTTCCATGGTATTTCTCCATTTTTCTCTTTTTTTCCGTTTGAAACTGGAAAATGCAGGCGTGGACGATGTTTGTAGGTGTAGCAGACTTTTTTAAAAACTCGGTTTTTGCATTGTTTTGAAAAGCATTATTTATTAGCTTCTCCGTTTTAAAAAGACCTTTTCTTCTATTAGCATTTTTTATACTGAAACGGAAAGAAAATCAAACGAAGCCTGAATCTCATCAATACATCTATTTCATCTATAAATTTGATGAAAATAAAATTTTAATTACCTCATAGTTAATTATTAGAATTTCTTGATAGAATTCTTATGTACTTTTTAAATCTAAATATTTATATCAATACTGATTTTTCGTCAAATAAAGTTTCCAATGCCATGACAATATTTAAGTTTTAATATGATTGTTTTTTTAAGAAAAGAAGCGATGTACCTTTAAAAATTTACATTAAAATTCATTTTTTCTTAAATAATTATTCTGATAAGATATTAATATTTGTTGCGGGCTAGAATATACGCGGCGATAGAGTTATAATTCTACGTCTTAGCGTTGCACGGATATCCAGCTCACACACAGAAAACACAATATTTTTTACGTGGAAAACCCGGAAAGGGAAAAAACCACGGGGCCTAGCCCAGTTGAAAATGATTCCACTAGAATTTGAGAAAAGTACAATGGATGTAAAAAAAAAAAAAAAAAAAGAAGCCAAATTTTGTCATGCCATTGCCGAACCTCACGCCGTCATCGTCGAAGCCGGACAATAATCACATGAATAATGGCGCCTTATAGTCCAAAACATTTGTTTTAATTTTAAATTTTGTCCTAAAGATGGAGAATCTCTAATAATTTAACGGGGCACTGTTACCGTTTACCAAACGAAACGGGTCACACGTTTACGGCTTGCCGTCCTCTAACGGCCGCAAAGCGGAAAATCCATGCCGTCCACACGTTCCACACGTGTCGAAGCACAAGCCGTCCGATCTCCCACATACAGCTCTCGTTCTCACGCGGAGGTATCCGTGTTAAACTTAAGCCAAACACGAGGCCTCACACGAGTGGAACCCTAGACAACAAGGCCCTTCGCACGCAGCATCGCCGGACGCCGCCGGTAAGCCGCCGCCATCGTACCAGAAATCGCTGAAGAGCCCTCCCACAGTACAATTCTCCGGACGATCTCTGCAGGAAGACGCCGCAAGGTCATATAGCAACGCCGGCGGCTTTGGTTCCGGCGACGAAGTAGTAAGCATCGGAGGAGTGCTAAGGAAGGGGATCTCGCCGCTGATATCCTTCTAATCCGCTCATCTATCGTTCGCTGTTTTGATCAGGTTCTTCACTCGTCTTCAACATCCTTTTACCTAAGCGGAAAGAATGAGCTGAACTTCTGGGGCTTTGGCCATCGGAGTTATGTTTGGATCTGGGTGAATATTGTGCGAAGTGGCACTGGAGATGGAAAGGCTTGGGGGGACGAGCGAGGAAGATGACATGGAGATGGATTTGGAGGTAAAGGAGGAGGACGACGATGACGAGAGGAGCCGAACGTTAGTAGCGGCGGAGGAGATGGGAGGTGGGTTCTTCGAAGAGGAGGCCGCTTCCAGTGAGCAGATCCATATACATGGGATGGGGGGTAGAAGGAGCCGGCCTAAAGAGGAAAAGGAGCGGACGAAGCTGCGGGAGCGGCATCGGCGAGCAATCACGGCGAGGATTCTGGCTGGTCTGCGGCGACACGGCAACTATAACCTCCGTGTTCGCGCTGACATCAATGATGTCATCGCCGCCCTTGCCCGGGAAGCCGGCTGGGTCGTCCTTCCCGACGGCACTACTTTCCCTTCTCGGTCTTCTCCCAGTTCCTCCCAGGTTCTCTCTCTCTCTCTCTCTGACTCTATCCGCTCCCAACCTCTCTCCTCATTGCTCATCTCTTTCTGTCCTCCCCACTCATCTCTTTCTGACCTCCCCACGCTCTTCTCGGTTGAATTTGTTCCTACTATTAGTTAAATGAAATAAATTTACGAATGTAATCGCAATTTTAGGGAATTTTAAAATTTTTTATCTGATGCTAAACACACGCCGATTTTTCATATTTCCACTTCAACTCAGCTAGCTTCCGATGCGGGAACCGTTTTCCAAACCTTTTTCTCAGGTTCGGTCGTATTTGCTGTTTGACGGGCTTTCGAGTTCGGTCTCGTTAACCCGAACTCCATAGTCTTGTTACATTCCTGATTTTTCAAAAAGATAATATTAAAGTTGCAATTTTTATCCCAAAATATTTAAAATTTTAATTATTAACTTATCGAGTTATCAGTATTATACTGCAAAAGCTCGTTGAATTAGGATGCTAAAATGGAGTTATCTTCCCTGTTCCTACAGGTGGGAAAACCCGCCGAAGCTTCTCCACTTACAGTGGCAGTGGCGGCCCAGACAACACCGCACTTGAAGGGATTGTCTCCTGCCGGCGGTCAGATTAGTTCCGGGGACAACCGGCAGTGCCGACTGAAGGGTGTCTACACGCTTCCTTCTGCCTACGACGGCCAATATCGTCAAGGGGTGATTGTTGGAGGAGAACGATGCAATGAGAATTTTCCTCTTGTCGTTAGTTGCAAGGAAATCGCTAATGAGAAACAGGTGAGTGCGTCCAGAATGTTCTATACAGATGACAAATTATTGTTTGAGGGTATTGATGTTTTGGAAACAGGGATGCCTGAAGTATTGCTTTTATACTCACTCTAAGGAGAAACCACTTCGCTTTACACCGTGTATGTATTATACACACATTGTGTATAAGGTTGTACACAGCCTATGTATAGGTGACATGACCCATTTTGATTGGAATCCGAACATAAGCTACGTTTGGACTCCGCACGTAATAATTTCTCCACTCTAAGGGCTATCTTATTTGCCGCATTTATTTCATTTAAAAGCGACTTAAATGAAAACCTTGCACTAACCATATTTATTTGATGAAAATATAGACTTTATAAATTAGTAAATTAGTCATTTATAAGTCATATTGAAATAAAGCAGTCTTATGTTATATTCAAATGCAGCCAAATAACCCAAAGAAAAAACATGTGGATGGAGTTTGGCAAGTGGAAAATAATTAACCATGGAAAAAGAAAAATAATGATATAAAAATATGCATATATGGTTAATATAAGTAATAATTTTTAACTTACATAATTTAATCAATTTGATGTATAAAATATACAAGTTTTATATGATTTTGCATCTATGAAATGATAAAAAATTAATGGAATTAAAATTGAAAATTAATTTTTAGATATATAACAATAACATCAAGCCTTTATCCCATTACGTTGGGTTGAATACATGAATCTTTTTTCTTCATTGTGTCCTGTTAGGTGTTAAATTCTCATTTAAATCTAATCAAGTCATTTTAGGTTTACCTCTACCTTTCTTAATATAAGCCAAATGTAATACGTCTACTCTCCTAACCGGGTCATCAGAAGGCTGCCATTTTATTTGACGAAACCATCTAAGGCGACTTTTCCTAATCTTATCTGCCGCTAGAGCTACTCTAACCTTTTCACAGATATGCTCGTTTCGTATATTGTCTCTAAGAGTAAAACCACTCATCCACCTGAGCATCCTCATCTCTGCAACACTTAACTTAATATTATGCTTCTCTTTTAATGGCCAACATTCTGCGCCATAAAGAATTGTAGGTCTCACCACCATCTTATAGAATTTTCCCATAAGTTTGAGGTGAACGTTTCTATCACACAACAAGCCCGATGCATTCCTCTACTTTAACCATCCAACTTGAATTCTACTAATAATATCCCAATCTATTTCACCATCATGGTTTTAAGTATTTACTTTAATGCTTTCACTGGCTGGCTTGTGGTGATGTGAAACATATATGGAAACATAGATTGCTTAAGAATTAATAACAAGTTGATAAGCTTTGATAATTTTAAACTCAATGTTTCACCAATATAAGAGTCTAGTATTTCTTAGCTGTAGTTTGCTTTGGCATGTGGTTACAAGAGAGTTTAATAGGACAATTTAAAATAAGAACAAAAGCATAGTAAAAGATGCAAAATAACATTATCCACCGTTTAACAAATAGAAAGTTCACCTCGAGTTCCTGTCAATTTTACTCTTGATGGTAGCGGTCAGCGGGAGAATAATTTTAGCAAGCCTAGCGATGCCACCAAAAGAAAGAGAACGCCTACGGTCTTGCTCAATGAAAAGGTAGCTGGAGGGGACGACGTTGGTGGATGTTCGATGATTCGCCAATGTCCGGAGCGTTGGTGTTCTTCAATAGCAGACATCAAGGTGAAGAGGATGCGGTCGGCGTAGTCATCGACGGTGTCGTCGATTTCCACGTTGAGGTTGAAGAAGGAAGAGTTGAAGATATCAACGTGGTCTTGGTTGTCGTAAACGAACCCGTGATCACGTTCCGGATCCGCCATGCATGAGGAAACAACAATTTTTTGGTGTGCTAGAACTCCCGGACAGCAAGCGTCGATTTCGCGGCCGGTTGGATAGCAATGGGAAGTGCATAATTCTTTGGACAACCCCCAAATAATGTCTAGTAAATCTGGACAACAACTTGGAAATCCAAAAACTGGAAATAAGGAGCTGTTTTGGGGAGAACACTTGGTAGAAAATTAGGGGAATAGCAAGGGCAGTGGCGGCTGAACTTAGGAAGGTTTGAGTGGTTGTTTAGAGAGGTTAATGTGGGTGTTAACTAAATAGGAGAGAGAGGGAGGGGTGGCATAGGCTAGGATTTGATTGGGGATTAAGTTTAGGCAAGGCTTGATTGAGATTTGGAAGCTTTCCAAATTAAAAGAGAGGGGCAAGGGGGGGGCGGCAGCTAGGGAAAGGGGGAGGGAATTTGGGGAGGGATTTAACTGGTTTCCAAACAAGGTTAATTAAATTAAAGAGATTTAATCGTGAGGATCTCTTTAGTTTAAATTCAAATTTGAAATGATTTGAATATGAAAACTTTCCAAATATAGCTTGACTAATTTAGGAAAGAATTTCAATTCAATTAGAATTGAAATTTGAATTTGAGATCTTCCCAAATTGAGATACACTACATATGGAAAAGAAGTAATTTGGGCCTTAAAGATTTGGAGGCAAAGAGAGGCACTATGGCCGCGGTCAATTAAGGGGCTAGGTTTTAGATGGTGGCTGGTAGGGGGGAAGGAAGGGCTTTGGGAGGTGGTGGTTAGGAGAGGAGGGATCCTTATGGCCGGCTGTTTGAATGACAGGGTGGATGGGGGGTCGGTTCAAGGAGAAGGGTGGATTGGGGGTCGGCTCAAGGAGAAGGATGGTGGTGGGGATTTAGCCGAGAACTTTGGAGGGAGGATGGCCTACGGTGTGAGTAGAGGGACTGGAAGAAGAAAAATAATATGGATATGAACTGCGAGCCCGGCCTCTACCAGCGGCTGACGGGTGATGCTTGACCCTCTCCTAGGGCTCTCTCTTCTCTAAAGAGCTCACAAAACAATGAAACAAAGATGAAATTTTCATTAATCAATCATTAACCCAATACAATGACTAAGGCCTTAATATATAGGCCTTCAAAATAAAGAAAATAAAAGACTCAAATGCCCTCAGGGCTACAACATAAAAGCAATCCCTCATAGGGGTACAAAGGTAAAAACAAAAATATAAATAAAAGAAATACATAAATGCTTCATAAATAGAGACTCTGAATCGTAGCTGTCGATCTACGATTCTTTCGATGGTAGACGCTTCGAAATCTCCTACTGATGTCCTCATCATGTGGAATGTTGCTTCTCTTGCTCAATAGAAGCTTTTTTATGTATTGTTACTCATTCCTGATTTATTGTGCTTACTGATGATGATTTTATGTAGATGATCTCACATAGTGGGATAAAAACTTGATGTTGTTATTGTTGTACTGATGATTATGTTTATCATGCCTTGCTTCAGGTGATTGATCTTCCTCAAAGATTACCAGAGCGTGATTTTGCAGGGACCCCTTATGTCCCAGTCCATGTCATGTTGCCTGTAAGTTTTAATCATTATTGAAACTTTACTATATTTTGTTGATAATCTTCAATTAAACTTTCTTCTTGGGTTTGATCTCCTATAAAAATAGGAGGCTCAATTTTTTTAAATTGTACTACCTAATTTGGTTCCATGCTTGAAACCATAGTACCACATTACTTTATGTTTAATCACTCTTGATTTTTTTTTTTCGTGGTGTGATAGCTTGGTGTGATTAATACAAAATGTGAGCTGGTTGATCTGGAAGGCCTAATGAAACAGGTCAGAATTTTAAAATCTATAAATATTGATGGCGTTACTGTTGATTGCTGGTGGGGAATCGTTGAGGCACACGCCCCACAGGAGTATAATTGGCATGGCTATAGGCGACTTTTTCAAATTATCCGAGAGTTAAAACTTAAACTTCAGGTTGGTTTTCCCTGCATCTTACATAATTTGATTCAGTTTTAATCCCAATAAAATTTGAGTTTTCCATAACACTTATTACTGCATCAGTTTTTTATTTTTTTAATCCTTATAACCTTGTATTGATTATGGTTTCTTGAACAGATTCTTGTTAGACTTTCTTCTCTTTGAACTTTCTTTTTTTTACAATGACTACCAATAAATAATTCTTCGGTCAGGTGGGAGCATGCATATCCTTTGATTAAGTAGAACATGATCCATGATAATCTGGGAGGATGAAATCATGATATCTTGATTGAATTCGTTGTCATTTTTCTCACTATATGTTTTAAGTTTATGATGATAAATTTTAATCCTAAATCAATTTGCTGCTACTATACATCGAACACTTAATGCTTATATAATAATTAGCCTTAATATAAAGTTCTCTCTCATCAACGAGAGGGGTAATTAATTATAAGGGCTTAAGCTTATGAAAAAATCAGGAACTAAATCATAAAGTTGTTACAAAATGAGGACAAAATATTTGGTTAGTGTCTTATCTTCAATCTAATACGCATTTTAAAAATTTTACCATAAAATACCTAAACTCTCTGAGGCACATATTTTCGAGCTCCATAGTACGCAATTGATATTTTCATTTTTTTTGCATTTTAGTCCAAAAAGATTAGTTTAGCTTGTTATTTTAAAGTACATTTAATAAAAAATTTTTAGCCTCCCGACATCTCCCACACATAGAGGGCATCCACAAGAAGAATTGGGCTTTCCTGCCACACTTAAAAAAGTGTGCATAATTGGTGTCTCTGGCATTGTGACCTAAAGTCTTCAAACCCACCACTCTTAGAAAAACATGCATAGGGTTTCATGTCCCTGCATAAAGATTTGGGCAGAATGGAGCCTTTTCACCACATAGGTACAACGCGCATGGGACTTTACCCACCATGCTTAAAAAAGCATGCAAGGGTCTTCAGTACTTGCATGAGAAACATTGCAAGCATAGCAAGCTTTCCCTGTAATGTCTAAACAACACTTGCGGGAACTGATTTCTTGCATCACGACAAAACTTGCTTGCATTATATGCTGACAATGGATGTTGCGTCCAAGTGGCGACTTTTGTGGTGAATTAGAGTTGAATGCATACATACTTTCTCTTTATGTATATGTTGTCTTCCTTCTTTTATTTTATTTTAGGGGGATTTACATACATGCCACTTTATTATATCTATATTACATATTTAACACCCAAAAATTAAATATTACATTCATACCACCCAAAAACTAATTTTACAACATAAATACCACTCCGTCTTAGAAACCTTCACTCCGTCTCTTCCTCCCCGGCTAGAATTCAGTCTTCGACGATGTCGGCCGCTGGGCCTTCGATATCCCCGTCGATGGCCTTTGTGCCCAATCGGAAAGTGACGACGGAATCGTTGTTCCTAGGGGTAGCTTCCAGTTTGTGATGTTCTGTCTTCTAGTGTTGATGTACTTCGGAGGGAAGTTCGACGAGAAGGTTATCCGAGAAATTGAGATCGCCCAGAGAAATTTCCTTCTCAATGCTAGTAAGATCACTTTTCTACCTTACCTGCCAGCGATCGCTGACGTTTTCTTTCATAAACAGCTAAGAAATGCTAAAGAATTTCACCGGAAGTAGAAAGAAGTATTTTGCCTAGGCCTTTTCATTCTTCCCCATTCCGTAATAGAAGATATCAATTTTGAAGGGTATTTGATACCCAATAACGCGCTGATCAATTTCAGTGTTGTGGAAATGGATGGCTTAGGATGAGAAGATTTGGGAAGAAGCCGCAGAATGCAAGCCTGAGAGGTTTATGGAGGATCAGCAGAAAAAATGAGTGCAACTGGCTGTTGTTCAAAACCTGAAGCAATGCATACAAGAGCATTCTTTAAACGTGGTTATTCTTATAGTTCTAATCGGTTATTCTTATAGTATTTCTCTAACAATCTTATAAACTGAACCTACTAGATTACCTGCAGAATGCTTCAGCCTCCTTACAAACCTTGAATCATATCAGAATCTAACCTAAATGATAATATAAATAAAATCCAATCAATCAAGAATTCTTAATCCAAAGTCGTATCTATAAACCTTGAACCATATGCTAATAGCATCTGCAAGATCAGCGACCGATCCTTCCCCTTCCCTTCCGTCGGGAACTGCTCCGACAACTGATGAAAATTTATCGTTTGAAGTTTGGTCACAGAAGTAAATAAAAGTTTGGTGTTCCCGATCACGAGCAGAGGTTTGTATTCCCGATCGCAAGCAGCCGAGCAGAGGATCGCGAGCAGCCGGACGCGAGCAGTGAGCAGAAGGAAGGTATTCCCGGTCACGAGCAGAGGTTTTCGTGAGCAGATGGAATCCCGATCGACTGTGTTCGCGAGCAGAGGTATTTGCGAATGGGCAAATTTCACGGGAAGAATACGCCGTGAGGGACGAAGTAACGAAGTGGTAGAAGTGAGGTAAAAATTGAGTTTTAGGTGGTATAAGAGTAATATTAAATTTTAAGGTGTTAGATATGTAAATGGTTATAAATATAGTGGTATGTATGTAAATTTCCCTTTATTTTATTTGTTTAGTTTTTTGAAACTTTTTTTGGAAGCTATCTCATTTTTTTCTTTGAGAAAGGAAGATTGTAAGAGAGACAATGAGAGCGATAGAGTTGGAAAGGGGAAGTGAGAGAGAGAGAGAGAGAGAGAGAGAGAGAGAGAGAGAGAGAGAGAGAGGTGATGGAGTGAGGTGCCAGAGAGAAATTGGAGCAAAGATATATAGAGGGGTGGTAGTGAGAGTGGGGTGATGGGAAGTATTAACATTGGCGAGGAGATTATCATCGACTGAATGCTTTTGACATATTTGGGTTGTTTAACTATGGCAGATAGCAAGGAGGAGACCATTAGTCAAAAGGCGGATTTGCGAGGAGATGAGATTGAAACTTTGTCGAAGAGGCAGGCTATTTGTGAGGGTGAGACCAACACACTAAGGCTGTTGTGCTATAAGGAGTAAGTGAATTGTTGGCGGAGGCAAATGTTGGAGTTGTTAAGTTGATGTCGGATCATTTATGTTGAGGAGAGGTGAGCAAATGGGTTCGTGGTGTGTTGTAGGTTAGAGTTCGAAGAGGAGAGAGGGAGTAGCGAGAACAGTCTGGGAGTGCAAAGGGGCTGTTGCTGGCTGCTTGCTGTTAGAATTAAGGAAGAGAGTTTACGGAGTTTATAGGAAGTGCCTTGCTAGAGATAAGCTAGTTTTGCGGTAGTGGAAGTTGTCTACGATAGCAATATTTAACTCAAATTCTGAGAGTGCAAGGGGGCTGTTGCTGGCTGCTTGCTCTTAGAATTAAGGAAGAGAGTTTACGGAGTTTATAGGAAGTGCCTTGCTAGAGATAAGCTAGTTTTGCGGTAGTTGAAGTTGTCTACGATAGCAATATTTAACTCAAATTCAGAGGTCTTGTGAAGCCATGTCTTCCTGCCTCTCTATCATCAACAATTTTGGGAACTGGGTAGGAATGGGAGTGGAGGAAATAAGAGATGGAGAGCTACAAGGGTTTCTGAGAGAGGGAAGCAGGGTTTTTCATTTAATTTTGTGAGAGAATGAGAGATCGTGAGCGAATTCGGGTGATAGAGGCATGGCCTATATGTAATGTGTGGAGTTTGTGCATGAGAATGGATATAAATGGTGTTTTTTTTTTTCTTTTTTCTTTTTAAGAATAGGTCAACATTAACCTCATCCTCATATTCAAGAGTAACACCATCAAGAAGTTCGATCATCTCTCAGCTTGCAAACCTACCAAAATAGTTGCTCAAAATCTTCTGGCTCTTTGTTTTGTAAGCCCCCTCCGAATGTTACAACGCCCACACAATATCTGATTCTTCCTTCATAAACATTTAAACCCTCCGGAGCAGTGTTCTTTGCAATCTTGGGGAATTAATTTAGTGTAAGTTTATTTCAATCTTTAGTGACGAGTTCATATTTTTAATTATTTAGATTAATTATTAGTCGCTTAAAATGTCATTTTCTATTTAAGATTAGTTTCTCATTTGCATATTTATTTAGGTGTAGTTTTATTAGAGTCAATCTGTATTCTGCATTTGAGAAAATTTTCAGCATAAAGGGAAATTACATTGGTGGAACATGGAACATCTTTTGTTTACTAATTGGCTTCTATAACAATTAACAGTTTTCGTCTTCTGTTAGCTTTTTTGTAGCAGATAGTTCGTGTGAAAATTTGAAGACTTCTGTATAGTTGGGTATAAGAGGAAGTCATGAGGATTTTCTCAATGTCCTGTAGTTTCTTTGAATTAAGAAATATGTAATTTAGTTGATTGCTTGAGTAATAAAAGTGATAATAGTTTTAAACACACTAGGTTTACCCTACTTTCAAACTTATTTAAATAGGTCAATGGGCTCAAAATCCCATACTTGGGTGGGTACAGGTATTAGACCATTGCTTCTAGGTTACTCTTTCCTGTTATCTGTCTTAAGTTTCAATTAGTGGCTTACTAGTTCATATGGTTTCAAACAGTGAATATAGAAAGATGTGAAGCAATAAGCCATGACCAACAAATGTGGGAGACTAAGGCTTCGTTTGGGACAATTTTTATTGCTTCTTAAAGCATCTTTCTAGTATAAAAATTAAAAAATTTATACTAGAAAGCTGCTTTAAGAAGTCATAAGAAAGCCGTCCCAAACAAAGCCTTAGGCTTCGTTTGGGATGGCTTTCTTTATGCTTCTTAAAGCAGCTTCCTAGTACAAATTTTTTTATTTTTGTACTAGGAAGTTGCTTTAAGAAGCAATAAGAAAGCCGTCCCAAACGAAGCCTAAAGTTTATTGATTTTATCGAAAACTCTGAAATGTTCTTCGTAAGTTGCAGCTTAAAGTTTTTTGGCTGAGGAAATCTGCGACTTATGAAAAGAATGATGCCTTTTTCCCATAATCTGATCTATTATATCTGATACATTTGTATGCATAGGTGGTCATGTCATTTCATGAATGTGGGGGCAACATTGGTGATGACGTATGCATTCCTCTGCCACACTGGGTAGCAGAAATTGGTAGAGGCAATCCTGATATCTTTTTCACGGATAGAGAGGGACGGCGGAACTCTGAATGCCTTTCAATAGGAATTGACAAGGAAAGGGTCTTAAGAGGCCGAACTGCACTTGAGGTATACAAACACAATTAAGTATGACTTTTAATTACTGAATAAAGGAGAATAATACTTTGTTTACTTATTCTGAGATATCTTATACTAAATTCTAGTATTGGTTTTTCTTTATTTCATTTTTAAAACGTATCTGCAGTATCGGAATAATATTGTAGTTTTGAAGTACTTTTTCACTTTATATGTGTATTAGTTCTTCAATTAATGAAGTAAAACATTAGTCATTTGGTTTTAATTTTGATTTGTAACAGTCTCTTGGGCACCTTATCCAATTTGCATTGCAATTAATTCATCAACATTTTAATTCTTATCTCTATTAATTAGGGTAGTTTACTTTTCTTTCCCTATTTATTTTTGATAAGGGCTACATATGGTGTTAATGTTTAGCTATATAAGTTGATTTTTAGAATTTTTAGCCCTTAGGTGACTAGGGGTGTCAAAATAGATTTGTTGGTTGAGTTTGGGACCAACCCAAAATTGAATAGATTTCAACCAGTCCGACCCGAAGCTAACCCGTTTAGCAAATGGGTCAAATTCTTGGACTTGAACCCAACCCATCACAAAGCTAACCCGACCCCGACATGACTTGCTCACCCGTTTAGATTAATATATATATATATATATATAATGGGTATCTATCTGTTGTCACACCAAAGAAATTATTTGGCAACGTAACTAATTCATCGGCGGAACCTAATGAGGGCAAATTATTACATCCGGTGTCCGGATTTGTCCGGACACCAATTCAGACGCGCCCCGTCACCAAAATACATCGGGATCCAGTGTATTCGAGTGACGTTGCGCATCTTGATTGGGTGTCCGGACGTCCGATGACCAAACGTAATAATTCGCCCCTGATGAGATACCCAACGGCATCGGACCTGCACATGCTTTGTGATTCAAACTCGGAATGGCAGTTCCAAATCATATTCACCCATCAACCACTTTATTATTATTGCGTCCTAGAGTATTCGCGACGGTAGAGAAATATAAAATTAATGTCTTAGCGTTGTACGAAAATCCGGCACGCAATCAGATAAGAGAGAGTGTGCGTCATCCACTAGAAACACCAAGATTTTTACGTGAAAAATCCCTGAAAAAAGGGGAAAAAAACCACGGGGCCTAGCCCAGTTTTGAACAATAGATCCAAGATATCTAAAACGCGTACTCTTATTAATGACTTGATCGCCCAAAGTCACAATCCCTTCACTAGGTCTATTACTACTACTTATTAGGTCAAATTCTCATTTAAATCTAATAAAAAAAAATCATTTTTTAATATTTTCTAACCAAGTCCTTTTAGGTCTACTTTTACCTATCTTAACATAGGCTAAATCTAAGACATATATTCTCTTAACCTGGATCGTAAGGCCGAGTTTTATGTGACCAAACCATCCAAGGCGACTCTCTAATCTTATCTGCCACTAGGGCTACTCCAACCTTTTCAACGTATATACTCGTTTCGCATTTTGTCTGTAAGAGTGAAGCCACTCATCCACTTGAGCATCCTCATCTCTGCAATATATAACTTAATTTAACACTTCTTTCTAAATGGCCAACATTCTGTGCCATAAAGTATTGCAGATCCACCACCATCTTATAGAATTTTTCCTTAAGTTTGAGGAGTATTTTTCTATAACACGACAAGCCTGATGCATCCTCCACTTCGACCATCCAACTTGAATTCTACTAATAATATCCCCATCTATTTCACCATCATTTTGAACAATTGATCCAAGATACTTAAAATGTGTACTCTTATTAATGACTTGATCAGCCAAAATCACAGTCCGCTACTAGATTTATTACTATTAAAATTACACTCCATATATTTGGTTTTAGATCTACTCAAACAAAAATCTTTAGACTCTATTGTTGACCTACATAGTTCAAGTTTACCTTCAACTCCCTATTCAGTCTTATCAACAAGAAGAATATCATTAACAAAAAGCATATACCATGGTACATCATCTTGCAAATGTCTAGTAAGAACATCTATGTATATATTAAAAAGGTATGGGCCTAAAGCTGATCATTGATGTAATCTAACTTAAATAGGAAAATACTCGGTCAAACCACCTTATGTTTGAACACAACTAATAGCTCCTACACCTCATTCACAAATCACAAATAAAAAATAATAATAGTTGCCAAAGTATATGGTGAACATAAGGAATTTCATAGCATCTAAAAAATTAATATGAAAGTTCATATTAGCAAGCTATCGACTCATAATCTTAAAAATAAAAAGAGAGCTTTTGGTTTCAGCTTTTTACTCATTGTCAGCTGATCTTTGTTGTCGAAGCCTAGAGGAGACTAAGAGTGGAGTTGTGGAGGATTGAAGGGTTGTCGCCTGACTAGTGAGCTAGGGTTGGAGTCATGGAGGCCTAGATAGTTTATGAGGCTATTAGCCTATAATGGGAGGATGACATGGCTTTCGGGTTGGCGGGCATAAACAAGCCCTAACTCTATTAATCAAATGAATATGAGTTGGTTCTTGTGGCTTTCGGTTTGGCGGTTTGTCTCGAACCGGCTAGATATTGAAATCATATAAAAAAACTAACTTGAATCCAACCCATTTGCTAAAGGGGTTGATCCGAACCCAGAATTTTTGGTTTGGATCCGATTTGAGTTTTTAGATTGTGTCATATATTGCCACCATATAGGCGACTGTCAAAAACCGCTTGCATGCATGTGAACATGTGCAGGCATGAATGCATAGTGCAGGTGTGCTTGTATCATATGATACATGCATGCATGCTTATGTGATATACCTCTTTACCATAATATAACTTTCATATGAATTTTTTGGTGTCTTATTCTTTCATCTTTTGCCATGTCATGTCATGATTATTTGACAAGTATTATGCTCGTTATTGACTACCAAATGTAACCCTCTAATTTTCTCACTGCAGTGAGACCTACAAATTTAAGGGAAAATTAAGATGGTGGTGAGACCTGCAATCTATGTTGCATCGATACGGATATGGCGACACGATATGGATACGGGACACGTCAATTCTTAAAAGTATAGGATACAGGTACGGCGCTGACATGGCATTATAATTTATAAATCATACATAAAATTTAAGAAAGCATTCAAAGTATATTTGAAATTACAAAAAAAATAAAAGCAACATTATTTGTAGCCTCGTAGCTTATAATATCAATATAAAAGTAAGCATTAAATGTCTAGTACAACAACAAAAGCGTAAACATAAATTATCTAGCACATGAAGTTTCAACTATTCAATAGAAGGAATGATACGATTAACTTCTTCAGTGGTTTGTCTTTGAACTTCTATATCATCTTCAATAAATATCATAGCTTCTAATTCAGGCTCATCAAATGAAATATTAGCAATTTCTAATATTCTCATACCATCAAGAGACTCAAATCCATCTCGGAAATGAGAGAACCTTGCTTGCAGTCGCGAAAGTAAATATGATGCTTCTTCTTTTTTTTTCAACGAACACGGGTATCGGATACGCGTGTCCTTTTGAAATTAAATAATATTTAATTGGATACGGCTTTGGTGTATCTGACACATATCGGTGGCGTATCAGAGGCGTATCTGTGTATCGGTGTATTAGATACAACACGCCTTCATAAATAGGTGTATCG